GGGCACTGGGGACACTTGGGGGGATCGGGGCACTGGGGACACTGGGGGCACTGGGGGACATTGGGGACATTGGGGGGATTGGGGGGGCACGGGCTGGTGGGTGATGGGGTTGTGGGTGAAGGTGACACTGGTGCAGGTGACACCGGTGCAGGTGACACCAGGTGCAGGTGACACCAGGGCAGGTGACAGCAGGTGCTGGCTCCGTAGGCGACACTGGCTGTAGGTGACAGAGTGTGCAGGTGACAGAGCACACAGGTGACACTGGCTGTAGGTGACAGAACATGCAGGTGACACTGGCTGCAGGTGACACTGCAGGTGACACTGGCTGTAGGTGACAGAACATGCAGGTGACACTGGCTGCAGGTGACACTGCAGGTGACACTGGCTGCAGGTGACACTGGCTGCAGGTGACGCTGTGCGCCAGCTCCCGGTGCCGCTCACGCTGCCGCTGTCCCTGCCGCTGTCCCTGCCGCTGTCCCCTCCGCTGTCCCCTCACGTGTCCCCGCGTGTCCCCACAGACCAGGTGCCGTTCACGGTGGAGCTGTCGCAGCTGCCGGGCTCTGCGGCGGGCGGGGGTCGCTTCGTTCGGAACCGGGCCGTGGCTTTCACGGTCCGGCTGCACGACCCGAGCCGCTTCCTGCGCCTGGCCGACATCTCCTACTCGTGGGACTTCGGGGACCGGAGCGGGACCCTGATCTCGCGCAGCGCCACTGTCACCCACACCTACCTGGACACCGGGACATTCTCGGCCCGCCTGGTGCTGCAGGCGGCGATCCCGCTCAGCCCCTGCGGCCCCAGCACCGCCCCGGCCCCCTCGGGGGTCCCCACGGCCACCGAGCCCCCCCCCGCCACCACCAGCAGCAGCAGCAGCAGCAGCCGGAGCAGCACCCCCGCCGGGGCACCGAGCACCGCGCCGGGGGCCAGCACGGGTGAGGGGCGGTGGGGTGTGGGGCTGGTGTCCACTGTGTCCCCGTGGGGTGTGGGGCTGGTGTCCCCTGTGTCCCCATGGGGTGTGGGGCTGGTGTCCCCTGTGTCTCCATGCGGTGTGGGGCTGGTGTCCCCTGTGTCCCCGTGGTGTATGGGGCTGGTGTCCCCTGTGTCCCCGTGGGGTGTGTCCCCAGTGTCCCCTGTGTCCCCGTGGGGTGTGTCCCCTGTGTCCCCGTGGGGTGTGGGGCTGGTGTCTCCCCACTGCCCAGAGCCCCCAGAGCCACCCCACCCCATAGCGTGTGTCCCCAGTGCCCCTCTGTCCCCATAGCGTGTGTCCCCAGTGTCCCCAGTGTCCCTCGTCCCCCCCATCAGAGCCCCCACATCCCCCCCAACCCACGGTGTGTCCCCTCAGTGTCACCTAAGGGGACACAGAGCACCCCCGACCCTGGAGCTGGGGGGATCCGGGGGGGTCCCATACCAGAGGTGACCCCGGCCCGCACTCCGGGGGTCCCGGGGTGACCCCGGTCCGCACTCCGGGGGTCCCGGGGTGACCCCAGCCCCATTTTTCCAGCAGCTCCCGCAGCCTCCGGGGAGCCGGCGGAGCCCACGGGGGGGTCGGCGGTCGAACCCTCGGACCCCGCTGTCACCGACCCCGCTGTCCCCGCTGTCACCGATGTCACCGACCCCGCTGTCACCGACCCCACTGTCAGCGATGTCACCGACCCCGCTGTCACCGATGTCACCGACCCCGCTGTCACCGATCCCGCGGTCACCGATGTCACCGAGCTCTCGGTGCCCTCCGCCACCGCCACCGCCCTCGCTGCCGCCACCGCGGCCGGGGACACCTCGGGGACACCAGGTGGGTGCTGGCCCTGCCCGGGGGTGGCGGCGGGGAGGGGACACGCTGGGGGTGTCCCCAAAGGGCTCGGGGTCCCCTCGCCCAGCGGTTTCTGCGTGTCCCTGCAGCTGCCGCGACGGACGGAGGCGCGGCTGATGTCACAGCTGGAGCGGCCACAGCTGGATCAGCGGCCACAGCTGGATCAGCAGCCACAGCTGGAGCGGCCACAGCTGGAGCGGCCACAGCTGGACCTGCCCTCGATGCCACCGCTGCAGCCACGCTTGGTGTCACAGTGGGTGCCACCGTGGGAGCCACCGTGGGAGCCACTGCGGTGTCCCTGGCCGCTGCCACAGCTGGAGCCACAGCTGGAGCCACAGCTGGAGCCACAGCTGGAGCCACGGCCCAGCCGCTGGCACTGGTCAAGCGCCAGGCCCCGGCCGAGAACTTCCCCGGTTGTGTCCTGTACCGCTACGGCACCTTCGCCACGCAGCTGGACATTGTCCGTGAGTCCGGGGGGTCCCGGGGGTCCTGGGGGGGTCCTGGGGGGGTCCCGGGGGGTCCCCGGGGGGTTCCCGACCCCGCTGACCCCTCCTCAACACCCCCAGAGGGCATCGAGAGCGTGGCCATCGTGCAGGTGGTGCCCGAGGGCGGCGGCAGCAGCGTGGAGCTGACGGTGACCTGCGAGGGCGGGTGAGTGGCGACAGAGGGGACAGAGGGGACAGCGGGGACAG